GGTTTCCCCGTGGTCGCGGCGCTAAAACCGTCGTTTTTTTTTCGTTTCTTTCTGTGCGCGGACAACCCTCTGCGGGTTTCAGCGTGGTCGCGGTGCCAAAACCGTAGTTTTTTTACGTCTCTTTGTGTCCGCGGACAACCCTCTGCGGGTAATCGCCGGGTCGCGGCGCTAAAACCGTCGTTTTTGGTGATTTTTTTCGTGGGCGCAGACAACCCTCTGCGGGTTTCGGCGTTGGCGCGGTTCCAAAACCGTCGTGTTTTGTGTTTCTTGACATGCAAACGCAACCCCTCTGCGGGTTTTCGCGTGGTCGCGGTGCTAAAACCGTAGTGTTTTTGCGTTTCTTGACATACAAAAGTAACCCCTCTGCGGGTTTTCGCGTGGTCGCGTTGCTAAAACCGTAGTGTTTTTTGCGTTACAGACGTAGTACGCCGGGGACTTCCGTGGCTGGAAAATCGAGTTTTGTAGTACAAATGTAGTACGCCGTGGACACCCGGAGCTTCCGTGGCTGGAAAGTCGATTTTTGTAGTACAAACGTAGTACGCCGGGGACACCCGGAGCTTCCGTGGCTGGAAAGTCGACTTTTTGCAGTACAAACGTAGTACGCCGCGGACACGCGGAGCTTCCGTGGCTGGAAATCTGGAAAGTCGACTTTTTGTAGTACATTCCAAAACCATCGCAAATACCATGGTCCCCGAATTCGCTGGTTCCAAAAGCATCGCAAATACCATGGTCCCCGAATTCGTTGTTTCCAAAAGCATCGCAAATACCATGGTCCCCGAATTCGCTGTTTCCAAAACCATCGCAAATACCATGGTCCCCGAATTCGCTGGTTCCAAACGCATGGCAAATACCATGGTCCCCGAATTCGCTGCTTCCAAAAGCGTCGCAAATACCATGGTCCTCGAATTCGCTGCTTCCAAAAGCATCGCAAATACCATGGTCCCCGAATTCGCTGTTTCCAAAACCATCGCAAGGAGCTTCCGTGGCTGGTTCCAAAAGCATCGCAAATACCATGGTCCCCGAATTCGCTGGTTCCAAAAGCATCGCAAATACCATGGTCCCCGAATTCGCTGTTTCCAAAACCATCGCAAATACCATGGTCCCCGACTTCGCTGGTTCCAAAAGGTCCAAAAGCATCGCAAATACCATGGTCCCCGAATTCGCTGGTTCCAAAAGCATCGCAAATACCATGGTCCCCGAATTCGCTGGTTTCAAAAGCATGGCAAATACCATGGTCCCCGAATTCGCTGTTTCCAAAAGCATCGCAAATACCATGGTCCCCGAATTCGCTGGTTCCAAAACCATGGCAAATACCATGGTCCCCGAATTCGCTGGTTCCAAAGCCATCGCAAATACCATGGTCACCGATTTCGCAAAATCACATGGTGCTCCAATGCCGGGCGTGCGAAAACATGCAAATTTCATGGTTATTTAATTCCCGGCGTGCGAAACTCACTTCGGTCAGATTTCACTGTGCTTCTCTGCTCTTTGAAGCTCCAAGGTCTTCTTGCCAACCTCGCTCTTCTGTCCTTTTTTCTTTGAAAGGCGCTCTGGGGTGTGAGCTTGGACTTCAGAGCGACTGCCGATGATGCTCATGGCTGACGGCTCTCGCGTTAGATGTTTTTGTCTTTTCTTTCATAGCATCTCGTTGACAGGACGTGCGCAGCCGCGTCGGGTGCATGCAAGTGAAGTTCATACAGTTCAAGTCCGTTTACTTCAGATCTATTGAATGCCAATGAAGTGTATAGAGTTGACCACAAGTGCATGGCATTCAACTCAACACACTTGAATGCCATGCAGGTCGAGTGCATACACGTCCAGTGTACAAGTGCAGTATACAAGTGAGTATGCAACCATATAAGTGCATACACTTAAGTGCATACACTTGTCCAAGTGCATACAGTTCGAGCGCACAGAGTCAAGTGCATAGACTCAACGCACCGCAAATCGATGCTTTCGGGCCAATCGTCTTCTAGTTTGTTGGCTGAGTGGTGTCCTTTTGCCTTTTGCCCTTTTTGGGTTACAGGCTCCCTTTTCAAAGTCACCCTGAACCTGAACCCTGCGCCCTAAAGCCTAAACCCTAACACCATCATACGATTGGCGCCCAAGGACCATGGAAGAGGTGTGCCTTGATGCTCCGATGGTGCCCGGACTGCAGGAGCCAGCTCTAAGTCCTGGGTTGCAGCCGATTGGGGAAACCCAGCCCGCCTGCTCGACTTCAAGGTGGGTTTAGGGTCTAGGGTTTAGGGGTTTAGGGTTAAGAGGTGGTTTGGGTGCCAGCTCAAGGACAATCATGTTTGTGGAACAATAGGGGATCCCTAAAATAGACCCCCAAATAGTAGGATTCCCTTACAATAAGGACCCCAAATAAGGTACCCTAATTCCGGAAACCACCACATGTTTTTGGAGTTCGCTTCTACTTAGTGCTACTTGTCGATTAGACTGACTAATGTAGCCGGGGTTTCTGGGAACAGAGAGCAGCCCTAAACCCTAAACCCTAAACCCTCAACCCTAAACCCTAAACCCTAAACCCTAAACCCTAAACCCTAAACCCTAAACCGATCAGGCCCACGGGAGCGCCCAAGGCCAAGGCCAAGGCCAAGGCCAAGGCCATGCCGGCCGCGCCCAAGGCCAAGGCCAAGGCCATGCCGGCCGCACCGCCCGCCCCCCCCCCCGAAACCGAGAGTGCCCGGACGTTGGGATGAATTCCTTGCTGCCGCTGCCCCACCTACTCCAAGCAAAAGTACAGTGGAACAGATGATGGCATACATGGCCAAGATGGGCAAGGTCCACATGACTTTCTATCCATGCGGTGGCGACGAATGGGAGGAAGATGAGGCAGTCAGCAATTTTCTTACGACAGGCAAGCCGAAGTTTCGCACAATGCAATGCACTTCGCACACGGAGCGTCTCCAACTCGCATTGTTGGACCAAAAGCACGGAATGGACGCAGATTTCCTCGATGCGAAAGAGAAGGCCTTCCTGGATGCGATGAGCCAGGATGAAAAGCGCAGAATGTTCTCTCTCACAGATGAGGACATGGAAATCTTGGACGAAACAAAGGAAGGCGAAAACATGAAAATGCCAAGCTTGCCATCTTCGTCCTCGTCATCACAACAAAAGAAGACGCGTCCCTACCCTTTGTCAGAGCCCGTGGAGATGCCGGGGGAGGTAGCAGACATCATCAAGGACACTCTGAGCCGGCTCTTCAAATGGTAGGAACAACACCATGTTCTTGGTCGTCGATGGTGGCTGTAGACTCGGGGGTAGGGGGATAGAGCACTGTTGGGGATGTTGTGCATGGTGTAAAGTACAAAAGCTACAGTTGCAGGGCCCCTACTACCCGCTCGGGAGATTCGACCTGTGGTCTGAGCCACGGACAACAAGCGGGAAGCATGGCCCGCAGTCATTCTGTTTCGGGCACCTGCTTGGGAAAACGAGAGATTAAGACAGAGACTACCGGAGGCATTTCACACAAAGTCAGTCCTTGCAGGGCCCTCTGTTCCATGAATTCGTTTGTTGTCGACGGAGATGGATAGCCTTTGTTATTGCAACTTGTCCTTGCACCGGTACAGGAGCTGTGTCGCCCTGTTTGACTCTAAGGGTTCAGGGTTTCTATTTGGGATCTTGTGCTCGGGTCCGGATTTGTGCAAGGACTTTCGCAAACAACTGAGGCTCTCCTTTAATCTTGTCGCGCATTGTTGAAGGACCTTTGAACCGGCCCACTCGTGACGGAATATCGCCACTGCCTACAGAATGTGAGTATTTCCCAAAATAGGGGAGCCCCTTTTATATTCCCAAACAGAATAGAATCCCCTTAAAGGGACCCCCATGTTCGGAAACCCCTACATCTTTTGCATGCGAAGATCGTTTGACCCAGCCCACTCATGACGGAGTATCACTACTGCAGCAGCCCCAAATCCTAAATCCTCCCGCGGTAGCTTTGTACGCGTCTTCGCTGGGCCCTTCTGTTCAACTCCTACGAAATGGATGAGGCCTGCAGACCCTGACAGTCAGTAGGCCTATCGGGCTGATTGTCAGAGCAGCTGGATCTGTAAACCCGAACTAGACGAGACCCCTGATCCTACCAGTTTTGCAGACCAAGCATTGTTCTGCTCTGACGCACCACGGCACAGTCCCAAACGGCGCTCTCAAGGGCGCTCTATATGGAGCCGATGGCTCCGTCAGTTCTGTTGTGCAGGCCTGGACGCTCCGGGGTGGCTGCGAAGAGAGAGGCTTAGGCTCGAAGCTACTTTAGGGTTTAGGGTTTAGGGTTTAGGGTTTAGGGTCAACTCTTCTGATAAAGCTTCAAAAATCCGAAGCGTTGGACCCACCTCTGGACCACCCAGCGCAGATCCTGCAACCAACAGCCGCACAAGGATGTGACGAGACGGTCGACTTGAACATCACGCTTTGCCGTCACAAAAGTTGTTTCACGTAACCTAAGGGTCCATGTACCTTGCTATTATATACTTGGGCCCCAAACCCAAAGACCTTATATAGGAGGTGCTTTAAGGCCCAAGTATACCCTATTTAGGTACATGGACCCTTAAGGTTTAGGGTTTAGGGTTTAGGGTTTTTAGGGTTTAGGGTTTAGGGTTTAGGGTTTAGGGTTTTGGGCGGTTTGGGGTTCAAGGTATTTCCCAAAATCAGGGAACCCCGTTTATACCCCAAGTAGAATAGAATCCCTTAAAGGGGAAACCCCAATATGGGTAGCGCTCTGAATTCGGGTTCCTTTCGGGGGTTTTCCTTTCAAGGGTGCCGTACAAATCTAGGGGACCCACAAAGGGACCCTAATTAGAGAACTACCTATATGCGGCCTAAACAAGCCCAGAGGCTTCAGACCGCGAAGCCCTCAAAGTCCAAAGCCCTGCAACCCCAAAGTTTTCAAGCCCTAAACCCTAAGCCCTAAGCCCTAAGCCCTAGACCCTAGACCCTAAACCGGCCGGAGTTCCTCCGGAGGCCCGTTCTTCTGCATCCTGGCGTCGCTCTTCCTGTGCATGGCCGATCTCACACGGCATCTGGCCGGATGCCCAGGTGCAGGATATGTAGGGTTTAGGGTTTAGGGTTTAGGGTTTAGGGTTTATGGTTTATGGTTTCAGTGTTCAGGAACCCCCCCCCCCCCTCCCCCAAACCCTGAGGCCCTGAAGCCCTGAACCCTAAGGCTCCCAAAACTTGATTGTCCCTGAGTTCGGGCTCATATTCATGTTTAGGGGTGGGGTTGAAGGGGCTTTAGGGTTTAGGGTTTAGGGTTTAGGGTTTAGGGTTTAGGGTTAGGGTTTAGGTGAAGCCGCTCTTTGGCAATGGCTGACGCATGGCGAGTGGAGCTGCGCTGGAAGCTGCTGCTCGCAAAACCTTAAGCTTGTTCCACTACTTCCAAACTGGTTCACACGCCTTTTGGCGCCTGCTGCTTGCTTGCGCGCTTCCATTTGCCCAGAAGAGGATTCAAGGCCTTGGGATTTTTGGTGCGCTTTCAGCGGCTTTGGTCTCAAGTGCTGCAAGACTTCCCATGGGTCGGTATAATCAGTAGGGCTGTGAGTACCTTCACTAGGGTGACCCTAAACTCAACCCTACACCCTCAACCCTAAAACTCTAAGCCCTAAAACTCTAAACCCTAGAACCCTAAAACCCTAGAACCCTAAAACCCTAAATCCCAAACCCGGAAACCCTGGAGCTGCACAAACTTCGCATCGGCCGGCCTCGCCACGAACGCACAGGCTGACAATGGTGTTGCAACCCCAAAGCCGTGTGAACTCCTCTGTTTAGGGTTTAGGGCGTTTAGGGTTTAGAGTTTAGAGTTACTTGGAGGTTCCGGGTACTTATACCCAATGATAAGTGCAGTTATAGCCCGCTTATGCTTGGTGTTTTTGGAATCCGAGCTCCCCAACCCCCCCACCCCCCCAACCCCCCCAACCCCCCCCCCCCCAACCCCCCCCCCCCCCCCCCCCCCCCCCCCAACCCCCCCCCCCAACCCCCCCCCCAACCCCCCCCCCCCCCAACCCCCCCCCCCCCCCCCAACCCTCCCCCCCAACCCCCCCCCCCCCAACCCCCCAACCTCAACCCCAGACCCGAAACCCTTAACCTCGATCACCCCACTCAAGAGCAGAAAGCCCAGTCGCCCGAAACTACGACCTAAATCCTGCAGACCGAAACCAGGCAGGTATAGCAGGTTTCAGTCTGGACTTCTGGGTTTGGGGTTCAGGGCGTTGCAGTCGGTTTGGCTTAGAGTTTGGGATCTAAAAACCATAAACCTAAACCCTAAACCCTGGGTTCGGCTGTGAGGGTGGTTTGGGCCCCTGGCGGGCCATTCGTGTACCCTGTTTTGAAGCCAGACTGCCAGTAAGAGTTCCATGTAGGGCTTAGGGTTCCCTAAGCCCTAGGCGCTAAGCCCTAAACCCGAAACCCGAAAAACCCTAAACCCTAAACCCTAAACCCTAAACCCTAAACCCTAAACCCTAAACCCTAAACCCTAAACCCTAAACCCTAAACCCTAAACCCTAAACCCTAAACCCTAAACCCTAAACCCTAAACCCTAACCCGAAACCCTAAACCCTAAACCCTAAACCCTAAACCCTAAACCCTAAACCCTAAACCCTAAACCCTAAACCCTAAACCCTAAACCCTAAACCCTAAACCCTAAACCCTAAACCCTAAACCCTAAACCCTAAACCCTAGCCCTAAACCCTAAACACGGAATACCCTTGAATGTAAGGGAGCCCAACCCGAGGTTGCTTCACCCCCCCCGCCAAGCTCCAAAAGGTCAATGACGCCTGGGGCACGGATTGCGTAGAGCTGCCCGACGGTGAGTCGCTAGGCCTCTTGACAGCAGGTTTAGGGTTTAGGGTTTAGGGGTTCAGGGTTTAGGGTTTAGGGTTTAGGGTTGGTTGGAAGCACTTACACACTAGACCCTAGCCCTAAACCCTAAACCCAAACCCCAAACCTTCATCCATCCTAAGCGCGCAACCCAAGAGTCAGCAAAGACCCAGCCAGGTACTTTAGGCCATCACAGCCCTGGGCCCTAAACCCACAAGCGGTTTAGGGTTTAGGGTTTTTAGGGTTTTAAGGTGTAGGGTTTTTAGGTTTTCAGGGTCTTAGTAGGGTTTTTGGGTTTTAGGGTTTTGGGGTTATGGGGTTTCAGTGTTTTAGGGTGTTGAGGGCCCAGTAGGGGGGGGGGGGGGGGGGCGAACAGCCTGAAGTCTGCATCTCTTCTAGGATGTCCAGTAGTACCCTCATTTTATGGGGTTCTTAAGGGAGGGAGGTTGGGCGGTAGGTACGTAGGCAACCTTAGGGAAGCTTAGGGAGCCGTGGGGAGTACTAGGGAACCTTGGGTTACATACCTCTCCTTTAACCCCCCCTCCCTTAAGAACCCGATAATCCGATAATGATTCCATTTTTCCCCTTGAAGGCGAGCAAAGGGCACCCTTTTTACGCCCAGGGTTACTGGCGACCTAGTCTTATAGAGAGCGGGCCCCGGTTTAGGGTTTAGGGCTTAGGGTTTAGGCTTTAGGCATTAGGGCTCCTGGCTGCCCCGCGAGGAATCTTCGGCGGTGGCGGTTCTCCCCAGATGCTGGGCACAAACTTCAACAAGTGCCCTCCGGGCGACACGGGCTCACACGGAGCGGCACTCTTCTTCGTGTGGTTTCTCCTGGGTTAGGTTCCCTTTGTCTAGGGTTTAGGGTTTAGGGTTTAGGGTATGATGGGTTTAGATCTAGGGTTGAGGGCTCAGGGTTTGATGTCAGTTGGAAGAGGGCTGGAAGGTGTGTGGTTGCAAGAGCCCCCAGTGCGGGGCAGTGGGGCCCTTCTCGTTTGTTTTTGGAGTCCCGGGGCGTACTTGCTTGGTAGAGCAGTGGTACCCTTTTTCCTCTTTTTTGGTTCTGGCTCCCCTTATCAAGTAACCAACCCCCAAAAAGTATGGTTACTGGGCTACCAAGCTTATTAAGGGGGGCTTCCCATGTCCCCTTAGAGTGGACAACTGTTCTGTCACAGGGTGTTCAGGCGAAGCTACGTGCGTAGGGCCCCATACTCCACCATGCCCTAAACCCGAAACTCCAAACCCTAAGGGTTGAGGTTTTGGGGTTTAGGGTTTACGGTTTAAGGTTTACCCACCAGGTACTGCCAATCCGTGAACGTGCGGGCCCTCAGCGCGGTGAAGTGTGCTGAAGTTCGGAATCGGACTCGATGGGGGAAGTCGACAATTGGGGCCTGAGACTAAACCCCTAAACCTGAGCTCCCAAACCTCTAGATCCTTACATCCCCAAGCCCTAAACAATCCTAAATCACCCTGAACACCCCAAAACCCAAAGCCCCAAATCCTTTAAGCTTCTTTCTGGGCGTATTTCGCTCAGATTTTATGGTTTAGGGTTGGGGTAGTATAAGGGCCGTTGGCATTTTCTGTCTGATGATACGACGAATATGGGAACCCAGAAGCTAGTATTTGCTTAAGAACCGCCCCCCCCAACAACAAAAACACACACACACACGCACATGAAAGATAACAATGTATTGCTCTTATAGGAAGGAATATGTTTCGAGGGTTCTTAAACAAATGCTAGAATATGGGAACCCAGAAAAGACTCTAAACTCAAGGCTTTGGGCTTTTAAGGGATTATTCGGAGCCCGTGAGGTTCTAATAACCCTGAACCCTGAACCCTAAACCCTAAACCCTACACCCTACACCCAAACCCTACACCCCAAACTCTTCAGGACTTCCGGGGGCTTCGGGCTGGCAGGTCGCCAACGAGTACACCAGCACCGGCGCGCTGTCGGCGCCAGGCTCAGAAACCCTCAAACACCAGAAGGCGCCAAAATCTAAAAACCCCTGAGCTCCAAATTCTGGACCGACTTCCCGAAAAATCTCTCTACAGGGTTTTTTGTTTAGGGTTTAGGGTTTTAGGGTTTATGGTTTGGGGTTTAGGGTAGCAAGTTCTGTGGATCCCGCCAGCCACCCACTCCTCATGAGAGCTTCGGTTTTCGGGCTCGGTCTTTAAGAGTACTAAAGGGACGCTTGCAAGGGGGTAGGGTTAGGGTTTGGGGTTTAGGGCTTAGGGCTGAGGGCTTAGGGCTTTGGGCTTAGGGCTCAGGGCTTAGGGCTTAGGACTTAGGGCTTAGGGCTTAGGGCTTAGGGTCAGAGGACTAAGGCTTCTGGGGTTTGAGGGTCTTGGGGTGCAGGTCTGAGGGCTCAAGGTTTGAGCTTTCGAAGCTTAGAGAGAGAACAAGGGCAGTCTTTTGGAGGGTACCCCCCCAGCCCTGAAACCTCAAGGGTTTAGGGTTTAGGGTTTCGGGCTTAGGGTTTAGGGTTTTAGGGTGAATCTCTAAACCGTTAACATCCTCCGAAGAGAAGGTCTGGGGCTGGCTCTTCACCATCTTCTTCACTTGGTCCGGCTTCGCCTTCCTCCTCCTGGGCATCTGCTGGGCGCGATGCACAGTTGATGGGGCAGGGAGGGGTGGGAAGGAGGGGCAGGCGGGTGTGGGGAGGGGAGGAGGGGGGGGGGAGGGGGGGAGGGGGGGGGGACTTTCGGGTTTAGGGGGGCTGTGGGGCTTGGGGTTTCAGGTGTGGGGGTAAGGGCTTGGAGGTTGGTTGATGGAAGCCTCGCCTAGTGGCCCCGCCTATTTGCCCTTACAGGCTTGCAGTCTCAGGGAGCAAAATAAGTGGATCACGACTATGTCAATCCTATATACCGTAAGCCCTCAACCCTAAACCCTAAACCCTTGGAAAGTACAAGCCCTTAACCCTAGACCCCAAAAGCCTTTCAAGGCCTCCAAACCAGCCCTTAATGTACTGTAAGTATTCCTGTACGGCCCCACGTACAGGTTTGTCTACACCCTGGACCCTAGCTCAATCCCTAAACCCCAAGACCCTGCCCCCCCCCCCCCCCCCCCCCCCCTCAAAAAAAAATCATAGTACATACATATAGATCCTAAACCCTCCCTAAGCCCTAAGCCCTAAACCTTAAATCCCACACCCCAACCCATCCATCCCTGGGTGTCCCAGGCGATTAGCCTGCCCCGCAAGGTGCAGGGCTCAGGGAAGCGCTTCAGCGTTTAGCATTTAGGGTGTAGGGTCCCTGAACCCCAAGCCCTTGACCCGAAAGCCTAATGGCTCAGGGTTTAAGGGTTTTTGGTTTGGGGCTTCTAGGGTTTAGGGTTTAGGGCTCGGGTTTAGGGCTAGGGATTCGGGCTAGGGGCTTTGCATGGGGCATTTGTTTGGGGGCATTTGTTTGGGGGAGCTCTCGGATCCATATGGGCACGGAGGAGCGAGGAGCCATGAGGGGTGCATGGGCTTGCGTTCGGGGTGCTAAGAGGTTCATGGGTTCAGGATGTGGGGTTTAGGAAACACAAACCCTAAACCCCAAGCCCTAAACCCTAAAAAACCCTAAAACCCTAAAACCCTAGAACCCTAAACCCTAAAACCCTAAAACCCTACAACCCTAAAACCCTATAACCCTAAAACCCTGGCCGCTGCAACCGTGCACTCAGTAGGCATGAACCGGACATGGGACAGGGCCACGAAGTTTGGTCGGATGACTGTCATGGAGGGACCAGGCCTGAAAGAGTTTGGCCACGAAGAAAGGCGCCTCGTTTGGGGTTTTGGAGTTTGGGGTCTATAGGGTCTATAGGGTTTATAGGGTTTATAGGGTTTATAGGGTTTATAGGGTTTATAGGGTTTATAGGGTTGACAGGGTTTATAGGGTTTATAGGGTTTATAGGGTTTGTAGGGTTTAGGGGGTTTATAGGGTTTATAGGGTTTAGGCTTTAGGCTTAGGCTTTAGGCTTTAGGCTTTAGGCTTTAGGCTTTAGGCTTTAGGCTTTAGGGTTTAGGGTTTAGGGTTTAGGGCAGGGTTCCGGGTCTACCGTCTACATGCCGGGGTGGCCCCCAGCGCCAAGCCATCCATGGCCACGAAGACGACATCGCGTTTCTCTGGCGAACCTCTTGATCCGCAGGCCCAAAGGTCAGCTTCGGAAGTCCTTCCCAGGCATCTGGAAAGCAAGCTCTCTGGGGTTAAGGGTTGCGGGTTTTGGGGTTTTAGCGGCAGGGGGCTTCTGGCTGAAGGGTGCTATTGTCCGGGATGTTAAGCGGTCTTGTAGAGGGAGTTCCCTGGAACTGACTTCCAGAAACTCAAAATCAGAGCCAGTAGGGCCCTAAAGTCTCAAAACCCACAAGCAAACAGCCCCTAAACCCTAGAACCCCGAACTTTTTGCACCCTCAACCACGAAACCCTCAAGCCCCAAGTCTTTTTTGAACCTGAATCTCCAAACCCCCCGAACCCAAACCTTTGAATTCAAGACACGAGATGCTGAACCCTAAGCCCTAAGCCCCAAACCCGAAGCCCCCCATCCCCCGAAAAAACCCACCCAAACCCCTGAAACCGTAAAACCCTAAACCCTAAACCCTAAACCCCAAAACCCTAAACCCTAAACCCCAAACCCCAAAAAGGTGGCGACACAGTGGAGGACGATTCGCGCGCGGCGCGCAGCCTCGCGAGCAAGCCCTCTCCTGGCCACGGGCGTATAGGGTTTAGGGTTTGGGGTTCAGGGTTTAGGGTTTAGGGATAGGGTGGTGCGTAGGGGGTGTTCCGAAAACTACGGTCCTCTCTGTGGTCGGTGCCGTTTCAAGTAGGGCTTATCTCAGAGGCCAGGGGTTATTTGGGCTTTGGGGAGTTTAGGGTATTTGGGATTGTGGGCAATTTCGTTTTTAGATTCCTACAAATATACACTCCCTATGCAAATATGCAACAGAGCTTTGCTTCCGTCCGTCGACCTCTGCAAGGAGAGGATTGCTCATGAGTTCAGAGGGGCCCGTCTACGACCCTAACTCTAAGGTCCCGAAACACAACCCACCCAGCCCTACAGTTCAGGGTTTAAGTCCAGGGGTTCAGGGGTTCAGGGGTTTAGGGGTTACGTAGGGTTTAGGGTTCAGGGTTTAGGGTTTAGGGGTTTAGGGGTTTAGGGTTTAGGGTTCAGGGTTTAGGGTTAAGGGTTTAGGGTTTCGGGGTTAGGGTTTAGGGGTTTAGGGGTTTAGGGTTTAGGGATTGAATCCCTAATTTAGGGATTAGGGTTTAGGGTTTAGGGGTTTAGGGGTTGAGGGTTTAGGGTTTAGGGTTGTGTAGTCCTCCAGGAGAGTGCGGCAGCCCATGGCTGCCATCACTAGGCAAGCGTAGCTTCGGCGCGAGCGCGGAAAGTCCAAGGCGTTAGATATTTTAGGACTCAGGGAAGCAGGGTTTAGGGTTTAGGGTTTAGGGTTTAGGGTTTAGGGTTTAGGGTTTAGGGTTTAGGGTTTAGGGTTTAGGATCCCTAAGGCCTAAAAAACATGGGTTTAGGGTTTAGGGTTTAGGGTTTAGGGTTTAGGGTTTAGGGTTTAGGGTTTAGGGTTTAGGGTTTAAACCCTAAACCCTAAACCCTAAACCCTTATTCTAATCTGTTTATGGGTGTACCAGGTTCTAGGGTGCAGGCCTTAGGGCTCTGCGGCGGCAAATTTTTGGTTCAGGCTTTCGGGTTTCGAGGCACCTTCTCAGTGTTTAGGGTTTAGGGTTCAGGGTTTACGGTTTGAGTGTTCAGGGTTTACGGCTTGGGGTTTCAATATTCTCGGTGCTTAGCCAAAACCTGATGCGTAGCGAGACACAAGGTTTGTTTCTATAGTGTTCGCTGATTTTGCGCTGAGTCTGGGGCATCCTCTTGACCGTCCATGCAAAGCCTCAAACTTCGTCCTTGATCCCTGAATCTACTAATTGCTTAAGAACCCCCCCCCCCCACAAAAAAAAATAAAAAAAGGATCTCCTTAAAAGGGCAATATAGGGATTTTCATTCTTTGTTTTTGGGGAGTTCTTAAGCAAGTAGTAGGAATTCAGCCTTGTAAGAGATGCCAGCATGCCTAATATCAAACTCCCCATTGCGCCCGCGACTTCCTATGTTGTCAAACCTACCGGAAGACTCTTATACTACAATAATCCCCACGGCCCTATTCTAATCATTAGGCCCTACAGCAGTCACCCGCGAGCTGAAGCTACGAACCGCGAATTTGCGCTTCTGGGCTGCTTGGGCCCGATCGACTTGTCTTGGCCACAGGCGTCGGAGGCTTGAGCGTCGAAGGCTTGAGCGTCGAACTCTGTGGGGTTATCGCAGGGAGCTTACTTGCCGAGTTTGCAGTTCCCTAAACCCTAAACCCTAAACCCTAAACCCTAAACCCTAAACCCTAAACCCTAAACCCAAACCCTAAACCCTAAACCCTAAACCCTAAACCCTACAAGCCCTAGGCCCTAAAGCATCCGAACATCGCCATGGAAGCGATGGGGGCGTAGGAGCCTCAGGAGCCCTGGGCCAAGGCCCTAAACCCTAAACCCTGAACCCTAAACCCTAAACCCTAAACCCTAAACCCTAAACCCTAAACCCTAAACCCTAAACCCTAAACCCTAAACCCTAAACCCTAAACCCTAAACCCTAAACCCTAAACCCTAAACCCTAAACCCTAAACCCTAAACCCTAAACCCTAAACCCTAAACCCTAAACCCTAGCCCTGAACCCTAAACCCTAAACCCTAAACCCTAAACGCCCTAAGCCCTAGTAGGAGCCTCAGGATTCCTGGGCCAAGGCCGGTCACGGAAACACCCGTCGGTCGCGCGTCTCGCTGCGCTGTGCGCGTAGACCACCGAGCGGGGTTATCTTTCAAGGATGGGTTTAGGGTTTAGGGTTTAGGGTTTAGGGTTTAGGGTTTAGGGTTTAGGGTTTAGGGTTTAGGGTTTAGGGTTTAGGGTTATGGTCGGAGTTCCTGAACTGAGGGAGTGGGGCAGCATACTAAGTGTTCTTTTGGGGGTTTAGGGTTTAGGGTTCAGGGTCTAGGCTTCAAAGTAATCCTGAACTCATATGTTCAGGTCCTCATTTTGAGGTCACATGGGCCCTGCCAATCATAGCCTACTTCGTCGTTTTCTTCTGGGTTTAGGCCTTCGTATCCGTTTTCCCAACAGCACCTTTTTGCGGGGGTTTTGTTTTCGGGAGATTTTTTGGGGCGAAGCACCCCAAATCAAGTCCATAACCTACTTATAATCATACTTATAACTATCCATGAACATTCAAGTACTCCTTAAAAACAGTGGCAGCGCCCAGCACTGGATGACTAGGGTTCTTAGCTAGAAAGGGACCCCCTGTAGATCAAGCACAGTGTCAGACCCCTAAACCGTCATACAGCCCTTTGCAGCTGATTTTCGCAACCCCACTCGGACGGCTGCACGCATTCGGGCATCAGTTCCGCGGACTTGCAGATCTCGCGGAGGCAGCGTTCGGGACAACTGCAAGGGTTTTTAGGCTTTAGGCTTCAGGGGCTTACTAGCTCTTTGTAGGGAAGTTAGGAATGAGGTTCCTTAGATGCCCCTGAGGGATTAGACAGGGATCCCCTGTTTCTCAAAACAAGTAAAATCCCTAAACCCTGCGTCAAGACCTAAACCCCAAAAAGACCCAGCAAGCTTGGGGAGAAAAGGTTTGAAGGCTTTGGGGTGCAGCTTCTGTATTAACATCCCCAAGCCCGAAACCATAATCCCTATACCTTGGGATGTTCCCCCTTGTACTAACAGTCCTTAATCGGGATTATAGTACCCCAGTACCTCCTACTATATTCCCGACAAAGGCCTGTTAGTATAAGGGGGAACATCCCAACCTAAAACCCTAAACCCTACAAGCAGTCTTTGTAAACCTTCAAGTACCCCTAAACCCTAAACCCTAAACCCTAAACCCTAAACCCTAAACCCTAAACCCTAAACCCTAAACCCTAAACCCTAAACCCTAAACCCTAAACCCTAAACCCTAAACCCTAAACCCTAAACCCTAAACCCTAAACCCTAAACCCTAAACCCTAAACCCTAAACCCTAAACCCTAAACCCTAAACCCTAGACCGACTCTGGGGTTTGGTTCAGGGTTCCTGGAATTCTCGGAGGGGGTGCAGTGTGGTTGGTACCATCCCGCAGTGCTTTTCCAGGTCTTGAGGAGCCGATGAGAGGTAGGTGTTTAGGGT